TAATCTTTATTCTAACTCTTTTTTTATTTTTTTTTTGGCAAAATATACTCTTCTAACTGAATAAAATAATATGATTTATTCTATTAGAAATATAAGTACTTAAAATTATATTAAAAATTGATTGCTTTAAACTATCTTATTAATCTTTTTCAAGATGGTTGTAATATTAATGAAATACCCGCAATCGTGAATTTTGAGGTATAGCGAATATTACCGAGTAAGATGGTTGTAATCTAAACAATATGTATGTAATCGAGAATTTTGTATTGAGAAATAGCAAATATTAATTGCGTAAATAAGTATTGAGATATAGTGAATATTACCACGACATCTTTACTATTTTACCGTTTTCATCGTTGTCCTTATACTCGAGCAAGTCACTAAAATTGAAGCAAAGATTGCACTATCAAACATGTAATTGACAATTCCCAGTAAGTATTGACATATAACAAATATTATTGTAATCTTCCCTAGATTATAGTTTTCAACTTTGTCCTTTTGTTTGAACAAGTCATTAAAATTGAAGCTTCGGTTTGACCAAAAAACGTTTACTTGAGATTTTAATCCTCAATAATTAATTAGAAACAGTGAATATTGCAATAGTCTTCCTAGAATATGAATTTCGTCGTCGTTCATAAATCCGAGCAAGTAAATTAAGTTGTAGCTACGATCAAGTAATAGAGATTGAAATTGCCACAATAAGTATTGAGAAACAGCGAGTTCGCTGTCCTTAATTAATTTTGAGCATGTCAATGAAGTTGGAGCAACAGCTTGGCGGACAAGCATGTTACTATAATATATGAACAATTAATTTCTTCATACTATCAAACTTCAAGGAGCGTGAAAGTTTAAATTTATGAAGAATTTAATGGAAGACAGTTTTATATGGTACCATGTTAAAATCAAGTGATGTAAATTAAAAAATTGTTTGTTTTTAAATTTTGTAGAAAAATGTACAACGCCTTAAAATGCGGGATTCTACTATTGACATATGTATGACAATAAAGCTCCAAGTACAGGAAAATTTTAACAAAATTGATACTGACGTTGATGTGGCCGAACATGATTGATCTTTTTTTTTTTCCAATCTTCCAATGATACCGCGCCAAGTGTTTTCCGTCAAAATTTTCTGTCAAAAACTTATAGCATGATTGAATGAATAGCCTGTCGTGGTCACTGTCGCTGAGAACTATATTGTTTAATTATTTGCAAATTATTCCCCCTTGGTGTTTTAGTTGTTTCTAAGATTAGATTGTATTAAGAACTCCTAAAAGTTAGCCACATGGAAGAGTTTTTTGTATTACTTTTCAGTAGAGTTCTAAATGTTTTCTATATCTACAATGATCTAAAGAAAAAAAAAATCACTACAAAATACACGGTGAGACTTCTTTTTGGTTTTATAAAAATAGAGGTTCATTTATTTCCTCTTCTTTTTCATATCTATAAACTTCTAGTCATTTTTCTTTCTCCGAGCATCATTAATCTTGTGCTAAACCTATGCATAGCTTTTAAGTTCACTTTATTTTTAGTCGAAATTACACCTACACATGGTTTTTAACTTTTCAATTCAAAAATCAAGTTTATTTTTTTAATTAAAAAATCAGATGATAATTTAGTTTTTACAATTTTTCTTATTAAAAAATAAGGCGCAAATCGCCGTAGCGCAGCCTAGCACATAGCAGCTCCGTTGCACTCACAGCGCCCTGCACAACGATGACCCGGTTTGTTGCATTCTAGAGAGAGAGAGAGAGAGAGAGAGAGAGAGAGTGTGTGTGTGTGTGTGTGTGTGTGTGTGAGTGATGGGGAAGCAACCGATGAGAATGAAGGCAGTGATTTAAGCCTTGTTTCCATTTCGACAAAAGGTGATATCGGGCCTCTGGAAGGATCTACTTGGTAGTTCCAATGAACGTGGGAATAGTAGGCGACGGTACTGGGCTATGTGGGTTTTAATTTTGGGATGTCAGTAGTGGCGGTGATCGATGACAGTTGTGGTGATTCGGGGTGATTGGTGATAGTGGTGGTG